CAGATTTGGACTGCCGGTAGCAGAGACCACTCTATCTGCAAGAACCGTATGTTTCTTCAGTTGCTCTTTGGGAGTGTACGGATGAGACACGGTAACCATGGCATCGCCTCCAGGGCGTTCACGTGCCCCATCTGTGTGTAGTAGCTGTGCAACGGGCATGCCAACATTTTTGACCTTCCAGCCACAACCACATTCTTCCCTGGGATTGGAATGCCAGTTTGCTTAATTATTTCCTAGACACTCCATGAGATTATTGGTAACATCGAATACTGTCCCAACACATTTGCCCCACACGAATGACATGAAAGCCATCAACATCCTTGTCTGGAGAAACAGCATTATAGATCTCTTCCTCGTCAGTGTGCTCTGGAAGAGGCAGCTGAACAAGGAGGCCACCTGTGTTACCATTATTTAGTTTATTGATTCAATTCAACAGTTCTTCCCCTGAAACTGAAGCCAGTTTCACAATGGTGCGACGATTCCCACGTCTGCAGCTGCCCTGGTTTTGTTGAGGACGGAGGGGTGACTTGCAGGACTCTCACCAACCAGAACCACACTCCCAACCACCTTGCAGCTTGTGGCCCAATGTCACCCATTCTTCCACCTCCTGCCACACTTCCTGCTTGATCTATGGGCAAATTTCCTTCCAGAAATGACAACAGCTTCATTTTGAACTACCGAGAGGCGGAAAAGGCGATGGCGGAGGCCGCAGCTCTTTGCGGGCCGGGAGGGCAGCGAGGGGGCAGCCGGTGGCCGATGTGGACGCGGGGAGGACGCAGCTGCCCTCACCCGTGCCGGTGTCCGCCCGGCAAGTCTAGTCTTCAGTCAACTATTTTAATATTAAAGTAATTATTATGTGGCTGTTCTCCAAATGTAGTGATTCTAAGCTTAATAATTCCATTCAACCAGCTAATTTTTAAATTAAAGCAGCAGTATCCCAACTGTTTTAATTACATCCCTCATGAATGAAAAAATGTATCTGCATGCTCTCCCAATCCGTATGGATTTATTTATAAATTATATACCCATGCCAGGATATCAATATGTTATCTACATTAGAAAGGATGCATAAAACGGCAATTTAAAAAGATGACATACAGATAAAAATGAGTGGTTTTTTTCTTACTTTACTCATTACTAGAACAATATCACTCAGTTATGATGATGACTGTTTTAAGCTGCTTCCTTTTAAAAATGCCTTGCTAATCTAATCCTGATGGCTTCATGCTCCCCGTAGCTATAATACAACAAGCACAGCACAAACTCAAGGCACGGCTAATAATTAACAAGAGGGGAGGTAAATCCATATTTTAGGTAGTCTTTCTATTAAGCTTAAGTCTGGAGGTTGATGTTTGGTCGGATAGATCAGAACCTTGCTTTACCTCATAACGTGGCTGATCAAAAAGCTCGCCCGTCTGAGGGATCAGAGAGGTGGGCGCAGGTTGTGCCATTTCCTTTTTGTTTACTTATGCTTATTATTTGGGGGGATTTGTCTTTAATCCTCTCCATTTTGTGAAAGGTAGTTTAGTTGAAACCAGATGCTCCATGCCATACATCCACCGAGACACATCTGAATTCCAACATGTGGCCACTGGGTGAAAGTGAACAGCAACAACAAAAAATGTGTCATCTCCTTGCTTAGGGAACTTTCCCCATCACCATACCTAGAGAACCACGGAGGGGGGTGGGCTTGTGTCCCAGGCAGGTCACACCTGGCAAGCTGACCAAGCAGGTGAGGGGCCTGTATCAATGAAAATATTTAAGTAGTAGTAAAACTCGACTCATTTCATGGTTACATATAAATGTAGATCTAAGTGCACCCCGTCTTACAGGGCCCCTACCGTGCATAGACTCCAGGCAGAAAGATATTCGCTACTAACTCACCCTGGAAAGTTCACCGGGAACCATTGCTGCTTATAAATGGACATCCCAGAAAGCTGCTTCTCAGGCGTCAGGTGCTTCCAACATAACTTCACAAGTTTGCCTTACCTATACATCGTCTGTACTCTTAATATTGATACGATATTGACGTATTTTTTTAAGTTAAATTTATTTAAAAAAGAAACATTGTGTCGCTGGCATGAATGGAAAAATTCGTCTCACTTCCCTCTCTCGTTTCACAAACCCCCGTCCTTCTGACCACAGTCTGCACCTCGCAGCTGCGAGCCCCCTCGTGCTCCTTGCCCGCCTCCCTGCAATAGCCAGCATTCCGTGCGGCCCGGCGAGACCCCGGATGGGAAAGCGCATCGCCCTGCACCTGCGGACGGGCTTCTCCGCAATCAGCGCCCAGAGGGTGGGGAGGGTGAGTGTGCTGGCAGGCTTGTGCCTTCACAGATCAACTTGTAGACCGTATTTGAGGAAGCACCTCTTTTTTTTTGTTTACTTCTAGGAAATACAGAACCAAATATAAGACTCAAATGTAGTCGTGATATTGTCCTTATGGCTTGGGTATTTGGGCTAGTGTCCCTTATCACTCCTAACCCTGGGTTTTGATTTCCGACCATCAGTTGTGTTTTTCTCAGGTCGTATTCATTGTTTGGATTTATGGTTCGCTGGCATTTTTGTGACTGCATTCTTATACCCAGCCACTGCAAAGCTTTGTGGAATGGAGCAGAAGTACATAAGATATCTCACACGACATTCCCTGCCCCCAGATGTCATTACTGGCTTCATCTCTCATGAGGATGTAAGTCTGTGTATCTTATGGAGGACAGCACTAAGGACGCGTTGGATGTCTTATTATATCTGCTTCATGACATTTCACAATCTACTGTATAAATTCTACACAGAGACCGACTCGCTTATTACTCAAAACAAACCTGTGTAAAGGGCACACCAAAAGAACGTGGTAGAATGTGGTACAAGTGTTAGATGGCCAGTTCTCCCAAGAGACCGTTTTCTCTCTCTGTCTCTAGCTCACTTTCTTTCCCTCCCTCTCTCCCTTCCTCACTCTTTTCTCTTATCCCTCCTATTTCCCTCCTTTCCCTCCTCTCCCCTTCTTCCCTCCTCTCTTCCCCTGTTTCTCCTTCATCCTCCCCCTCCCCCACCACCATAAGAACAATCCTGGGCTAGCCTGCTGGAGGTTGAGATAAATCTCCTGAAACAGAACCAATTTGTCACAGCAGAAAGCCATCTTAGAATTGCCAGTGGACCCCAGCTGAGCTCGGTTGAGCCTCTCCCAGAACCACCTAGCCATAGATTTGTGAGAAATCATAAGTGGTGGTTGTTTTTAGCCACTAAGTTCTGGGGTGGTTTGCTGTGTGGCGATAGCTAACCGATCTAGAGACACAGAGGTTGAGGTTCCGTGACAGCTTGTTGGTGGCAGAGCTAGGAGAAGAATCAGGCTACTTCTTATCCCTGGTCTAGGAGTTTGTCTATCATAGCATAATTCTGACTCCATCCACCCGCCTGCCCCTCGAGGAGCTGAGCTTTTGTCCTTGGAAGAGTGACCACTGGTGTATTCTGCCCCTCACAGAGTCAATGGCAGCCACATGGATGCCCGGATGACATCCTTATGCAAAGAAGTTCTGTTTAGATTTTGTAGAACAAATCTCTGTTTTGGAAGACATATCGAACAATCGTTGGTTGTTCTGGCATCTCCATCTGCACGTTTTTTACATAAAAATCTCAAACCAAATCAAATTAGCTCTACTTGATTTTCCATCTTAACATGTAGTGGTAAAATAAAACACGCACATTATCATCTGGAGGTCACGGAATACATCAATTCCCCATGTTGTGACTCTGAAATGCCTTTAGGGAACGTTGGGAGGTGGCTCTCCCTCCCACTGCACCTTGGCTGGCTGCCTCATTTCTGGCTGTGGTACAAAATGCCAGCCTACGGCTGATGCTCGGCTTGATTTCTAAGACCAGGCTCATTGGCATGCTTTGTAAAATCTCCTATCAGCATAGTAAGAAAGGTCACTTAACAATGAGACAGTCAATATGTTTCCACCCCATGAATGAAAAGTTTGGGGTAAAAAGAAGTAAAAATAGTGCCAGGAATAAATTATCAGCTTATCAACATGTTTATTAAATGCATCATACTTGGAGCACCAGATGTGAGAAAGGCAAAGGCTAAATGCCAGCAGCAGGGTTGCTAAGTAAATTATTTGGCTTGTTGCTGGTAATGAGAGGTTGTACTTGGTGGGAGTTGCCATGAAATTATATGTTTCTGCTGTTTTGTTCCTCAATGAACCGTGATCAACTCTAGGAACTGTTTGGATTAAGTTTTCCCTTTGGTGTTGATAGAAAAGAAAATTCTCTCTAAAAGAAAACCTTTATAAATTCCAATTTTTTTTCTGAATTCACAATTTCCTTATGTCTTCATTTTGGGGTGTTGGTGACAGAGCAATACATGAATTCAACTGATTAATAAATGTATCAAATGTAATCTTACGATTACCTCCAAGTCTCCCTTTTCCCCTTATACCTTGAAAAGAAACTGCTGTTGACTTGAGTTATGCTCAAGACTTAGAATGGGCAGAAAGAAAGAAGGTCCTAGAAAGATGAGACTTTTGTTAGCATTTTCAAGTCATATTTCTGCTGGAGAAATGGGCAAATCTTACAATAAAGCTGCTGATTTGATTAGGAAGACTACTAATTACACACTGTAGCAACACCCTCATGCACAATCTCCTATTCATAGATCTGGCATTTTCCCCATTTCTTGTTTAGAAAAACATTTTCTGGCTTAGTTGAGAAGAACAAGTCATTAGAAGCTCCAGTAAACAATTCTGTGTGGGGTGTCCATTTGAGCAAGCAGCTGTCCTTTGAAAATTGCCCTTTATTGTTTGAAGCTCCCAATTTTGCCGTCAGGAGGTCGTATAAAATCAATTAAGTCAGAGGATCTCTGGGTAATCGGTTCCAAGAACTGTTGCCCCAGCTGCGATTATTTGCCAACTGTGGCAGCTTACGCCCTGTTCTTGTGTCACTGGCGCCCACGCATTAGCCTTCACCTTCTGGCAGGAGTGTGGTCCCGCCCCCCTGAGCTTGTCTCCTTCGCCACCCTTGCTGGGTGGGCGGTTGGGCGCAGGCTGCCATGTCCCTGGTTCTTCCCCGGGCTGCACTCTCCAGAGATACCAGGAGGATGCCCTGCTGGGTTAACAGGTTGTGGCTTTCACTTCCTCCTCACTGGCAGGTAGGAAGCTGGAAGGAAGGACGGCAAATTGCTGTGTTGCTATGGCAACCAGAGCTGCTCCTCAGAAAAGCTGTTGAAGAGAAAAAGCTTCTCTAGTCTTCTGATTATCCTTCTGTATTTTCCCCCTTTCTTCTCCCCTTATTAGGCACCTCAAGCAATCATTTCTCCTAATAACTCTGTACACCTCCCCCTTAAGGAAATCACTCACACCGAGGCTTAAGCAACTGACAAGCGTTCATCCTTTAATTTAAGGTAAAAATTCTTAAACCAAAAGAAGAAACTTTCATAATATCAAATATTCTGATTTTATGCATCATTTGACTGGGTGAAGAAGTATTTTTGATGTAGAGGGTAGAGACTTCATTCATTCGTTTATTCATTCACCAAGCACGTATTAAATACTCGCCAATAAGTACCAGGTGAAATGCTAAGCCCTGAGGATTCAGAGACAAAGAAGACATTGTTTCTATCTCAGTCTGATGGAAAGGCAGTTATGAAAATAAATAGTCACAATAAGGTAGCGCTGGTGCCTGATAAAAGCCCATCTGGCCCTGTGGGGCCTCAGGGATGGGTGAGTCATTCTGCTGGGAAGGGTGTGAGCGTCAGGAAAGGCTCAGGACACAGGCGAGTTGCGAGGCAGGCACAGGTGTGTGATATGCACCCCTTACATGCTCTCCTGAGTTCATTCTCTCAGTTTCATTTACTGGCTAGGGGGTTGAGACCGTAGAAAGCCCAGGCAGTCTTTGTGAGATAAAGTGTAAATATGATTCAAAGAAAGCTGGGGCTGTGTCACTTGTGAGTGTTTGGAAGCCACGTGGAGATGGTAGTGACGGAAGCCAGGAGGGTGGAGGCTGGCAATGAGGGGAACCATTGGGGACCCTCACAGGGGAAAGTCCAGGCTAGAATATTCAACTGGACCTGGGCAGGGGGGCAGAGTGGGGACAACCGGAGGCTAGTGTGGGAGGCGTAGTTGGTGTGAGGTGATCAAGCCCATGGGGTATGGGAGCCTGAGATTGGTGGGGACACCCCTGAGAAAAGATCCATCTGACCATTATGAAGGCCAGGGTGTAGAGGCATGGTTAACAGCCGGGCTCGGGAATTCAACAGATGTGGTTCGTCTCCGCTCTACTACCACTAGCTGGAGCCTTTGAACACATAGGAATCTTTCTGGGCCTGTCTTCTCAGCTGTACAGTGGGGAATAGAGATCTGTTATGGGTTGCATTGTGTCCTCCTTCCCAATTCACATGTTGAAGTCCTACCTGCCTCCTGGCATTGTGTTTGGAGATAGGGTCTCCAGAATGTGACTCTATTTGGAGACAGAATCTTTTAAAGTTTAAATGAGCTCATTAGGGTGGGCCCTCGTACAATATGACCGGTGTCCTTATATGAATTTGGACACAGACACAGACAGAGGGAAGATAATGTGAGGACCCAGGGAGAAGATGGCCATCTACAGCCAAGGAGAGAGGCCTGGAGCAGCCCCTTCCCTCACAGCCCTTGGTAGGACACCTTGATCTGGGACTTCTAAGCTCCAGAACTGTGAGAAAATAAATCTCTCTTGTTAAGTACCACCCAGTCTGTGGTGCTTTAACAAATACGTAGAGTTGTTGAGAGGATTAAATAATTTATATAATATAGCAAAGCACCTGATAATATTCAGTATGTGGTAGCTGTTATTATCAATAACAATGAAATTGGTCTACTTTAAACAAAAATAAATCCTAACTCACTTGCATTACTGGACTGATAAGGCTATCAAGATTACTTGTGTCTCTGCTTAACTGAGTGTCAGAGGGTCCTTTTTTTCCATTCTGATGTTTAAATCTTTTAAATATGCCTCATCCATCCTTATACTGATTAAAATTAAAGCTTTTTTTTTTTTTTTACTTACAGGCCCGAGTGCCTCTATTCAATTGCAAGAGATTGAAATTGAACATGTCCTGCTTATAGAAAAGTTTTGTTTTGTTTTGTTTTGTTTTTAATAAGTCAGTCAAGTTGTCAATGTTTTCTAATGACTTGCTTCTTTTTTTTTTTTCACAACGGAGTGCTGAAAATTCCAGTTAACTTTAAGGTTCTAGGCAATTGAATAAATCCAGTGTGTCAACATTCTTTGCTTTCCTTGGGCGCATTCTGCAAAACACAGTCTTACATAACTGCTCTACATTGTGAGGACTCAAACTTGTGTCTGGAACTTTAATTATAATAAAAAAACATATGCAAATTACTATCATTGTCTCTATTTATTTTGGACCAGCTGCTTCTAAACAATTAACAAACAAATCATGTAAGTGTAATTAGGAGAAATACCAGGCTCAGAGCAGAAAACAGAAAAAACTGAATTCTGTTTATAATCTTCCAGGTTATGCTTCTCCGTTGCATTTATAAGAGCTGGTACCAAACAGTGAATTTCACTTTATCATTGCCCTGATCTGACATTTCTACTTATCTTCTAAGAGTGAAATTTATTTAGTTTCTTTCTCTCCCTTGAGAAGAAGGTTATAAACCACAGAACAAATTATTTTTATTGGTTCTTATCTACCCAAGAAAAGTCTGTGCCCAGAATTTCAAGGAAAGAAGAATGGGGAAGGAAGATTATGGGAAGATGTAACTCAGACTCTCAGGAGGAGGGAACACAGGACCTTTCATGGGTAGGGTGGATTAAAATGCCACTTCTCCCAACAGGATGCGAAGCCTAGTACACCACTCCTTGAATCTGGGCTGTACTTTGCAACTAGCTTTGGCAAATTGAACAGTGTGATTTCCAAGCAAGGCCTCAAGAGTACTTACAACTTCTGCTCTCATTTTCCTGCATCATTGTCCTGAGATTGCCATGTAAAGAAGTTTGCTTGAGTCACCCGGAAAACGACAGAGCACATGAAAAGAGACCCAGCTGACAGTCAGCACCAACTGCCAGACATATGAGGGAGGCCATCTTAGACTATCCAGCTCCAGTCCCAGGCAAGTCCAGGAGAAGAATAATCTAGCTGAGTCTAGCCCATATTGCTGTCCTACCAGATTGAGAGTCAGTAAAAGGAATGTGGTTTTAAGTCACTAAGTTTTGGGTTATTTGTTACACAGCAATAAATATCTGATACAAAACACATAGGATATTGATAAAACATTTTACAAAATCCAACAGTCTGTCATGATGAAAACACTCAACAAAAATTTACAAAAATTGTAAAGTTGTTAATTAAATGTGTAGATTATGTAAAACATACTGACTTTAGAAAATATAAATTGAATTTGGCAAGGCAAGGGAAGACAAACATGAAAATAATCAAACATTTTAGGTGTACAATACAATTCGACCTATGTAGTTGTTTCAAAACTCGTCAGTTTCTTGAAAATCATTGTTAAGGCTGATACAAGAAGTACATTTCTAGTTTTACAGATTCTAATTTAATGGTTAAATTACTATGCATTATGCAGGCTGTAAAACTGGTCTTATTTATTTTATATACTTTTCTCATTCAGAACACTTTTCATTACATTTCATTGTGTTGAAAGTACGGTATGCATCTGTTTCAGTGCCTTATTTTGAAAGCAATCTTTTGCTAACAGTTAAAGAACTGTTGTCTTAAGAATGAAATAATAATTCATTAAAAGGATCTGTGAAATAAAAAAAAATCTTATTAGAAGGTAATTTCCTTAACCTGATAAAAGCTATCTATGAAAAGCCCTTGAAGAACATCATACTTAATTGTGAAAGACTGAATGCTTCCCCTCTAAGGTCATAAACTCAGCAAAGATGTCCACTCTCACCACTTCCACTCAACATTGTGCTGAAGATTCTAGCTAAGACAATTAGGGGAGAAAAAGAAATAAAATGCATCTGGATTGTAAAGGAAGAAATAAGATATTCTACTTGCAGATGATATGATCTCCCATATGGAAAATCCTAAGGAATCCATTAAAAAATTATTAGAACTAACAAATGAGTTTAGGAAGGAGCAAGATGCCAGATCAATGTACAAATATAATTGTGTTTCTATACACTTGCAATGAATAGTCAGAAAATGAAATTAAGAAAACAATTCCATTGACAATAGCATCAACAAGAATAAAATACTTATATATTTGTTTAACATAAGAAATCCAAGACTTGTAGAGTTAAAACTGTAAAACACTGTTGAAAGAAAACAAAGATCTAAATAAGTGGAAAGACATCATGTTCATTAATGAGGAGACTTAACATTGTTGAGATGGCAATACTCCCCAAACAGATCTACAGATTCAACAAAATCCTTACAATCCTTATCAAATCACAGCTGACTGTTTTTGGTAGAAATTGACAAGCTGATCATAAAATTCATGTAGAAATGCAAAATACCCAGATTTGATCAAACAATCTTGAAAAAGAAGAGCAAAGTTAGAAGACTCACTTCCAGATTGAAGAAGTCACTACAAACCTAGGGCAGTCAGGACAGTGTGTTACTGGCTAAGTATAGACATATAGGTAAGTGGAATAGACTTAACGGTCCAGAAATAAACCCTCATATTTATGTTCAACTGATTTTTGACAATGCACCCAGATAATTACGCAGAGAAAGAATGGTCTTCTCAAGAAATGGTACTGGGACAAATGGATATGTACATACAAATTAATGACTTTAGAGCCCTACCTTACACCACACAGACACAGTAACTCAAAATGGATGACAGAAGAGCTAAAACTATAAATCTCCTGGAAAAAATGTAGGAACAAATCTTTACGACTTTGGGTTAGGCAACTGTTTCTTTTTCTTTCTTTTTTTGTTTTAGAGATTTATTTATTTATTTGAGAGAGAGTGAGAGAGAGGCAGAGGGAGAGGGAGAGGGGGAGAGAGAACCCTAAGCAGACTCCAAGCTAAGCGCAGAGCCCAACATGGGGCTCAATCCCAGGACCCTGTGATCATGACCTGAGCCAAAATCAAAAGTCAGATGCTTAACTGACTGAGTCATCCAGCCCCCAACTGTTCCTTAGACAAAAAATCAAAAGCACAAGTGACAAAAAATAAATATGATTTCATCAAAATTATAAACATTTGTGCCTAAAAGGACACCATCAAGAAAGTAAAAGGAAAACCTGCAGAATGTGAGAAAACACTTGCAAATCATATTTCTGATAAGGGACTTTTATTCACCATATTTAAAGTAACTTTTAACTCTAATAAAAAGAGAAATAACTCAATTTAAAGATGGGCAAAGGATTTCAATAGACATTTCTCCAAAGAAGATCTACAAATGGCTAGTAAGGACAAGGAAAGGTGCTCTACGTGACTAGTCTTTAGGGAAATCAAAACCACAGTGACATACCACTTCACATCCACTAGTCTGGCTATAATAAAAAAGACAGAAAATAGGTATTTGGAAAGATGTGTAGAAATTGGAACCCTCTATACATTGCTGGTGGGAATGTAAAATAGTGTGGCCACTTTTGAAAACAGTTTGGTATTTTCTCAAAATGTGAAACATAGAGTTACCATATAGCCCAGCAATTCCACACCTAGGTGTATACCCAAGAGAAATAAAAATGGATGTCCAGACAAAAATGTGTACATTCTTGTTCAAAGCAACATTATTCATAATAGCCAGAAACTAAAAACAATCCACATTTCTATCAGAATGGATAAACAAAATGTGGCATATCCATACAATGGAATATTATTCAGCCATAAAAAAATGAAGTACTGATATGTGCTCTGACATGGGGGAACCTAGAACACTACTACACTGAGTGGAAGAAGCCAGTCATAAAAGACCACGTATTGCATGATCTCATTTATATGAAATGTTCAGAATTGGCAAATCTATAGAGACAGAAAGTAGATTCGTATTTGCCGAGGCCTGGGGGTAGGTGGGGGGAGGTGGAGAATGTTGAGTGCCAGCTGGCAGCCATGGGGTTTCATTTTGAGGTGACAAAAATGTTCTCAAATCAGATTTTGGTGACAATCGCACAACTTCAAATAAACTAAGAAATCACTGAGCTGCATGCTTTAAATGGATGAATTTTATAGCCATGTCTAAGAGGGAAACCAAGCATGAATTTACAGTAATGCCCTTGGATGATATGCCCCAGTCAGGATGTGATGCACTGGTAGGAGAAGGCCAGTGATCTAGGGCGGATTGGATACCTAGATAGGTTACCAAAATAAGTTACAACCTAATCTGTGACCTAAAAGAAAGAGCATTAATTTATGAGGAGCTCTCTGATAAAAGAATTCCAGGGGGACAGAGCTTTGGGAAATGGCACATAGCGTATTCTACTCACAGAGATTCAAAGTGAATATTAGCAGACTAAGACTCTGAAAAATCCTATAGTAAATAAACTTCTTTGTCTTTATTTAATCTGGTATTTCTCAAATTTTCTTGACCATGTAACTTTTTTTTTTCCATAAAGCCCATTAATAGCTCATGAACACTGGCAAATACAAGCTCCAAAAATCCTC